TTTGCTCAGAAGAGATGCATTGTCTGTCCCACAAACAAAACGCGGCAACAAAGACGCAAAGAAGGTTTATGTTGGGAATGAAAGGTGCCCCCTTGCATGGTCCCCTTGTTTCAAGGAGTTCCAAGCTCCAGCGTTCTAAACCATGTCCATGATTGTAAATATGTAAATTATATGATAGAACATTAGTATTATACAATATTTGTGCATGTTTTGTAATAAAAAAAACAGTGGTAAACAATAATATGATAATAACTTTAGTGCGGTTATTGTGTTCAATACAGTGGTTTATATAATTAAATTATATACAGTATTGGTCTCTCAGGCCCCAAATGTTAGTAGGAATAGAAAAAAATTGGAAAAGAAAAGAAAAAACAACTAAAACAACAAAATAATATAATACGCGTATGTGGAATTCGTCGATGTTGCCGCCACCACATCATTTTCTACAAACTTCTTGGCACTGTATCTCGGTAAGTACTGATCAGATTCTAATTTTTTTTGTTTTATTCCTTCACAAAAATATGCTCTTTAATTCTGTAAGAAAAAATAATTTTTTTTTTTTTCAAAATTTCTTGGACACTGGTGCGTGACTTCAGATTTTGGCCTTGGACCCTGAAAGGGTTAATTTGATTTCCATTATTTCTTATGGGGAAAATTCATTCGCATAACGATAATTTCGCATAACAATGAGCTCTCAGGAACGGATTAATAATCGTTATCCCGGGGGTCCACTGTACAAAGATGAGGTGAATCATAGAATTGATGAGGGGAAAAGGGTGAGTGGTGCACTTAGGAGTCTGTGGAGACAAAGAACTTTGTCCTTGGAGGCAAAGAGGGGAATGTATGAGAGTATAGTTTTACCAATGCTCTTATATGGGTTTTGAAGCATGGGTGATGAATGTTGCAGCGGGGAGAAGGCGGGAAAGCCAGTGGAGATGTCTGTCTGAGGGCTATGTGTGGTGTGAATATAATGCAGAGAATTTGTAGTTTGGAAGTTAGGAGGAGGTGCGGGTTACCAAAACTGTTGTCCAGAGGCTGAGGAAGGGTTGTTGAGGTGGTTTGGACATGTAGAGAGAATGGAGCAAAACAGTGACTTCAAGAGTGTATCAGTCTGTAGTGGAAGGAAGGCGGGGTAGGGGGCGGCCTAGGGAAAAGGGTTTGGGGGGGAGGGGTAAAGGAGGTTTTTGTGTGCGAGGGGGTTGGGCTTCCAGCAGGCATGCGTGAGCGTGTTTGATAGGAGTGAATGGAGACAAATGGTTTTTAATACTTGACGTGCTGTTAGAGTGTGAGCAAAGTAACATTTATGAAGGGGTTCAGGGAAACCGGCAGGCCGGACTTGAGTCCTGGAGATGGGAAGTACAGTGCCTGCACCCTGAAGGAGGGGTGTTAATGTTGCAGTTTAAAAACTGTAGTGTAAGCACCCTTCTGGCAAGACAGTGATGGAGTGAATGGTGGTGAAAGTTTTTCTTTTTCGGGCCACCCTGCCTTGGTGGGAATCGGCCAGTGTGATAATAATAATAATAACCTACAATACTTACCTTAAAATATGGTGCTGGTTGCCCTTCCCTTATGCAGATTTTGTGTGAAAATGGTGGTGCAGTGGTAAAAGCATTGAACGTAGTGAATAATGGAACACCGAGAAGAGGGTGCCGAATATGCAATCCCTCCTGTGTATAATTTCTGGTTGGCTGCCTTGGATCAAAACGTTTAGCGCATGCTGGATGCCAAGGAATTGGTCCAGTGTGGTGAGATTGGTATAGCAATGCATACCTTGTTCCAAGATTCGTAGGTTCAAGTCTCCTTCAGCCAGAGATCAGTGTTTGTGTATATTTCGCTTGCTCTTGTATATATACAGTGGACCCCCGGTTAACGATCACCTCCCAATGCGACCAATTATGTAAGTGTATTTATGTAAGTGCGTCTGTACGTGTATGTTTGGGGGGTCTGAAATGGACTAATCTACTTCACAATATTCCTTATGTGAGCAAATTCGGTCAGTGCTGGCACCTGAACATACTTCTCGAATGAAAAAATATCGTTAACCGGGGGTCCACTGTACAAAACAACACCACACACACACACACACACACACACACACACACACACACACACACACACACACACACACACACACACACACACACACACACACACACACTCACACTCACACACTCTCTGTGTTATAGAGAAGCATTACATTGAAGCCCAAATACAGTGGAACCTTGTTACTCAAACAGCTCCGTAGTCGAAGAATTCAGTATTCAGACACTTTGTTCAGTAAACAAATCGCTCGTTAGTCGACTGTATGCTTGGCGCTCGACCAACCAAACATGACCTGCCAGAACTTCGTCGTAAACTATTTCATGTTTCTTCGCATTTTTTGGTATTTTATGTTACAGTATTTGTATAAATGAGTCACCATGGGGCCTAAGGGTTAGTGATAACGACCAACCAAAAAGAAAACTGGTTGGAAAAAATTCGTTCTGTACTTGAACAGATTGGCACTCGAGCAGTCTTCTGGAATCAATTAAGTTTGAGTGCCGAGGTTCCACTGTAGATAGATGCCCTCAAAGATTAACCCTTTGACTGTCGCAAGCCCCTTTCTGAAACTGTCATTCTATGTTGAAAAATTTTTTGAAAAAAAAAAAAAAAAATTCTTATGAAATGATAATCTTTTCCCAATGGTAATGACACCAAAAGTACAAAATTTGATTGAAAACTTACAGAATTACGCTCCTGTGAAGTTAGCGATCTCGGCAATGTATACACATCTGTGATTTCGCCGAATTTGAGCCCTATTTTCAGTCAATTCCATTGTTCCAGTCGACCAAACTCATAGTTATTTCTTTAGAAATCCATTTTTTCTATCAATTGAGTACAAGAAACCACCCATTTACCGATTTCAACTACGTAATAAAGTGGTCAGAAATTGGCAATTTGGCCAATTTCACACAAATAAAGATGCCAATTTCAAAATAGGGTCCAGAATAAACAATGCAGACATTCTTGGCACTAAAATAACATATCCTCTGTTCATTAGTCATGTCTCTAGGCCCTTCTTATATTACTATTGCTTTCTGTTTTTATTTTTTATTCACACAAAAAATAGAAGATTTGCTGTTATGCAGACTACTGCATTATTGCAAAACTGGTATAAATAATATCAATGCACTAGTGAAAGAATACTGTATTAGACTCCCCAGTTGACGTGTTTGAACGTGTGGTGTGATTTGCTTACTCATGAACATTTGTTTATTTATTTATTTAGTAATTTTAGCATACATTGGTAAAAATCGAAAATTTCCGCTACTTTGAGCTCAATTTCAAGGTCATTTTCACCATGAAACTAATCAAAATATCTCTATTTTTGTAATATGTTTTCCATTCTATCAATTGAGACCAAGAAAACGAGAATACATCCATAAACACCATACGAAAATACACATCAAATTCGGTGTTTTAATACAAAAACACGATCGAAGTTTTTTTTCTCATTATGCACTGTGTGCAGCAGGATTTTTTTTATACAGTGCACACTGACCACACAGACCCATTCTCTCACATGTGGGCCTACCAGCTTTCTCCTGCTTGATTTGAAGCCGCTAGAATTATTGAGCATATATATGTTCAAAATACTGGCTCGTAAGACATATATATGACCAAAACAGTCAAAGGGTTAATGGGCATACCTATCTGTTACATTGTATAATCCCTTCAGGTTTAGTGCTTAACTTGATTACATTATTATAACTTGGTTGCTCATTCTGGGAGTCATTGCCCCTGCAATCTGGTCTCAGACCAGGCCTGGTTAATGGCCTGAACAATCAGTCTCCTGATGCTAGTAAAATTGACTTAAGGAACTTGAAGATAGCTAGGAATGTGTCGGGATCTTCCCTTGTAATGGAGGTAGGTGTTGAAAAGTTTTGCATCCTTTATACCTATAACATTGTCTCCTAGAAATTAACCTTCGCAGCAACAAGTAAATCTCCGAGTTTATGTACCTCAGAAGTTTGAGGCAAAATCTGCTGGATTAGTCAGCAACACCAAACAACATTGGTTATGGAATTGTCTATTATTGATATGATTACAGCAAAACAATCTCATCTCTCTCCACCACATTTCTCATCAACAGACAACTGCTCCCCCTTGTTAGCCTATTTAGTAGAGGGTTAACCATATTATATTGATGGCACTAGGGAACAAAATGATCTTGGACATAACAGTAAAAAAAGAGCTGTGACATAACAGAATAACATTAGAAGAAAGTTCAACAAGGATAGCATTACCAACAACACCATGAGTACAGATAGGGTGCTGAACTGCACGCAAGTCTAACTACAACGTAATTTTAAAAGTGGGATTAAACAAATGAACCCAGGTCCTCATCCTGGTTAAAAATAGAGAGATACGGCTTGGGTCCATTGTATCTCACAAAAATTGTCTAGTATTCACTGTTAGCTGATCTAAAAACTTCTGTACAAGAGGATAGGCAACTCTGTTGTCCTGCTCATAAGGGGATTGCATTAAGGTTTTACTGCCAGTGTTGCTAATTCATTTTGCACCTCTATATGATGTGGATAGTAGCACCTGAACACACCCATCTGTTGGACATCATAGAGGATAGTGCCATTAAACTGCAAAAAAAAAAAACATATAATGATATATGTACTGCATTTCCCAGTAACAAGTGGGATTAATTGGTGTCTTCATTGTTGGTTGGAAGTTGCTGACTGTTCTAGTACTCCCTCCACCTAAACTTCCTTTCCCTGCCAGAAGACAATACAAAGTCTCATTAACACATAAAAAAAAAATTACAGTAGAACCCCCATATCTGAGGATTAGGTTTCCGTGGTATCAGTTGTCTGTGGTTTACCATGGCCTGAAAATAACCCTTAATTTTGCTTAATAATGGTCACAAAGCACAAAAGTAGTGATAGTGACAGTTCTTCAAAGCCTAAGAGAAGCTGTGAAGTGCTTCCCACTAGTGAAAAAGTACTAATTCTCGATTTATCATGTGTAATTCGTATATTAAACTTTATCATAGGTATATATGTAAAAAAATTACTTATGTATACGGTTTGCTACTATCCACGGTTTCAGGTATCCACTGTAGGTCTTGGAAGGTATTCCCTGCAGATACGGAGGGACTACTGTATTTTTTTGAACAATAATAATAACACTATACTTCAAATATTTATATACTTAAACCAATATTTAATTATTGTAATTAAATTGAACCATAAGAAAAATGCCACATTTGTAAATATTTTTTTGAATGCTTTGGATTATAATGGGCATGTGTGGTGTCATATATAATAAAACATCTCATTAATGGATTTTGATAATTTTGAACAAAAACTCTGGCCAGGCAAATGCTCTGATTATGGGACAAAATGGCCAAAAGTACGTAATTCCACATTTTTGTCCATAGCAATAATATATGGTTGTTTTCTAAATAATGGGCCATGTCAACTAACTCTTGACATTTGTCCGTTATGGTCCAAAGTGGCCACGTCCAGGCCCTGCTTGTTTTCATTGTTCCCTGAGCTGTGGGTCACCTGTGCTAGTTTATTGTTTGTGCTGACTCACACATACACTCATTATTTAGTCTTTAATTCTCCCTGGATTTAGAGCATTTTGTGTGACTTTATTAATATGTTAAGTAAAGAGCAGTTAAGAGTGACTTCTACAGTAAGTGGTGTTGCCAAGATGAAATTTGTGGTTCACAGTGTTAAGCACTTAACATTAATAAGGAAGGTTGAGTCTGGTGTCTCAGTGGCACATACGTGAAATCTACATCTCAGTCATCTACATCATCTCAGTTATCTACTTCATCTCAACCATCTACATCATCTCAACCATCTACATCATCTCAACCATCTACATCATCTCAACCATCTACATCATCTCAGTTATCTACTTCATCTCAACCATCTACATCATCTCAACCATGTACATCATCTCAACCATCTACATCATCTGAGCCATTTACATCTCAGCCATCTACATCTCAGCCATATACATCTTCTCGACCATCTACAACATCTCAACCATCTACATCATCTGAGCCATTTACATCTCAGCCATCTACATCTCAGCCATATACATCTTCTCAACCATCTACAACATCTCAACCATCTACATCACAGTCATCTACATTATTTTCACTAGCGGTGTTTTACAGTTCCTCTAACTCAGAATAAAGTTATTCTGTGTCACCAGTATTGATCACAGCAGTTTACACCTCATATCTCTACCACAAAAAAAGGGTAAGTAAAATTACTGAAAATTACATAGAGTACTGTAAACTTACTGTACAGTACTGTACTGTTCTGTAGTAGTACAGGTTACAATACTTGTATTCTTAGTGTCTGGTTGTCTTCTCCATCAGTGGACTAAGTCTGCTATTTAAGAAGACAACTGGACCATCACAAAATATTAATTTCACAGTTCGGGTGTTGCGGACAGCTAACATCATTGTACACACCTGGTACTATGTAATACCTTCCAGAGTTGGTGTTCTTGATCCCGGTGAAACATTCTTGATGTTGAACGACTCTTGATCCTTGTGAAGGACTTGATCCAAGAAACTGAAGCTATCTTTCCTTTCGTTGGATCAAACCTGATTACTGTATTTTACATAGAACAAGACTCTCTGGTATTGAGGATGCCCTCCAGTTTTGATTGGCTAAGTTTGGGAATAAAAGACAAATGGTACTTCAGCCTCCATGACTCTGGGTAAATTTTCAAGACTTATTTTGGGAAAAAATAGTGTCTTCAATGCCATAAAATATGGTAGTGTCATCCCAGGCTCTGTGTGACCCAGAGTATACATTAACCCTTTCAGGGTCCACAGGCCCTCTCAGAGACTTGTTCTCAGGGTCCCCCAAATTTAAAAAAAAAAAAAAACATTTTTTTCTTATGAAAAGATAGAGAATCTTTTCCCAATCATAATGACACCAAAAGCATGAAATTTGATGGAAAACTTACGGAATTATGCTCTCAATGTTTACGCATCGGCGATTTTGCCCGCTTTGAGCCCTATTTTCGGCCAATTCCAATGTACTAGTCGACAAAAATCATAACTATTTCACTAGAACTCCATTTTTTTTCTATCGAATGAGTACAAGAAACCACCAATTTACTGATTTGAACTATCCAGTACAGTGGTCAGAATTTAGCAGTTTTGCCAATTTCATACAAATTTCAAAAGATGCCAATTTCCAAATAGGGTCCAGAATAAACAAGAAAGACATTCCTGGCACTAAAATAACATTTCCTCTGTTCATTAGTCACGTCCCCAGGCCCCTCTTACATTTCTTTTGCTTTCCACTTTGAATTTTTATTCTCACAAAAAATAGAAGATTTACTGTTATGCAGACTACTGCATTAGTGTAGAAATGGTATAAATAATATCGGCGCACTTGTGAAAGAAAATTAGACTCACCAGTTGACATGTATTGGACACTTAGCATGATTTGTTTACTTTTGAACTTTGGTAAAAATCGAACATTTCTGCTACTTTGAGCTCAACTTCAAGGTACTTTTCATTGTAAAACCAGTCAAAATTATCTCAATTTCTGTAATATGTCTTCCATTCTATACAATGAGACCAGGAAAACTAGAATACAACAATAAATACCATACGAAAATACAGTGCAAATTCGCTGTTTTAATCCAAAAACATGGTCAGTTTTTTTTTTCTCTCATTACGCACTGTGTGCTGCAGGATTTTTTTTTATACTGCACACACTGACCACATAGACCCATTCTTTCATATGTAGGCCTATCAGCGTTCTCTCACTAGATTTGAAGGCGCTAGAATTTATGACTACTAGTACGTCATGGACCCTGGTGCGTAAGCCGTATTAGAATGGCCGAAACCCTGAAAGGGTTAATAATGTGCTATGTACTAATTATCATTATTATTACATTATTAATATTACCGCATTATTATTATCGTTATTGGTAAGTGTTAAATATATAGGGCTATACAGTTCCTGAGGAATGGAAGGTAATCAGGATCTATCCATGAAAAGGAAAAGTAGTTCCAATTCCTTGGATCAAGAGACCTTCACTAACTTCAAGGCTCTGCCCTTGAAGGGTCATGTACTAATTTAAAATCCATATTTTTAACTAAATGTTTCATTTCCTGGATATCAAATGTTGTGTGTTTGCAACGCAAGTGTCTAGCAGCAACACAATGTTGTTAGACAAGTGTGTTTGTTTTGATGTGAAACACTAAGAGTTTTAATTTGAACTCTACCAAATTTATTGAAATTTAAATTATAATATTTTGGTGTAGGTGTGACAGGTTAATATTTGTTTGGTATTTGTTTGTCAAAAAAATGTCCATCTTTTTTAATTTTGTTGTTTGAAAGCTATCTGCTAGTCACTCTGGAATTACCTTCTCCACTGCCTAGTTTCAGACCAGTCCATCTAGGTGGGAAAAACAATATAAGTATTAAGAACTGTTACAAGGCGCATTGCAAAGTAAAGGTTTGTGTATACCAAATATAAGTGGCCCGGTGGCCTGGTGGCTAAAGCTCCCGCTTCACACACGGAGGTCCCGGGTTCGATTCCCGGCGGGTGGAAACATTTCGACACGTTTCCTTACACCTGTTGTCCTGTTCACCTAGCAGCAAATAGGTACCTGGGTGTTAGTCGACTGGTGTGGGTCGCATCCTGGGGGACAAGATTAAGGACCCCAATGGAAATAAGTTAGACAGTCCTCGATGACGCACTGACTTTCTTGGGTTATCCTGGGTGGCTAACCCTCCAGGGTTAAAAATCCGAACGAAATCTTATCTTATCTTATCTTATCTTGTCTTGTATAGATTTTTTTCCTTGGTTATTACTTTATCAGATAATTGACATTTATTTTTAGTATATGTTATTGTGGTTGTGGTGGGCTCCTATTTTGTCAAGAAATGTGGACTTCTTGATTTTATTTTTCAAGGACTGCTGTTCAATTTTTTTTTTTTTGGGGGGGGGGGTCAAATACCGAATACAAGTACAGTGGTACCTCGAGTTACGAACTTAATTCATTCCAGAAGGCTGTTCGAGTGCTGATACTGAACAAATTTGTTCCCATAAGGAATAATATAAATTAGATTAGTCTGTTTCAGGCCTCCAAAAATACACTTACAAAAGCACTTACAAAAATATGCTTACGTAATGGCTCGAGTTGGGAGGTGTTCAAGGTACCACTGTATACTGATGTATTACAGGAAAATACTTAGTGATGTGTTCTATTGACAAGCAAAAAATATTTCTGGTAACTCCTTCCCCAACCTCATGATACTTTCAACTGGTTAGATGGATAAGTTTAAATAATTAAGCACGTACTGTATTATAAGGTAACATTCATAGGGCCTCAGGGTTAAAAGCTCGCTGCTAAGCACTTCTACATAAAAGCAAGCGTTAGTATTTTAGATAACAGCACTTGCAGAACTAGAACCTAAAGGATTGCTTAGATGTTTCAATACAAAGTAAATGTTGCATGCTTGCAACTAATCTGCACTCTTAGCTAACCTCTCATTAACCAAAAATCAAACAGGGTGTTGAGGAAGCCATAGGTGATGGACCTTCTTCAACAATGTCAAGCATGGGTGTGTTCAAACACCACTTGCCACACTCCTCTTACCACAAGCTAGCAAGTGCTAAGCCACAGTGGCAGTAGATATAAACTAAGTTAAGCTAGCTTAAGTTTCTAACTAGAAATGTTAGGTAATGATTCTGTAAATGCTTCAGTAGGTTTAAGAAAACCCCAATGAATCATTAAGACTAAGTTAGGTTAAGGTTTTAATTAAGGAGATATTAAGTGACCCATAAGCACTGAACAGATCCTAGGGCTAGCTTCTTGCACTGTCTTTTTACTCTATAACAACCTATCAAGGAAGATTACTGATGCTGGTGAAGGGCTCTTGAACCAAGGAATTGGAGCTATCTTCCCCTTCTTGGATCAAACATGACTTCCTCTAGTTCTCCGGGCACTTGCTCTGAGTATAATATAATAATTTGTACTGTTTCAAGCACCATGACTTAAAGTATGACTTCACATGGAGCTTCTGAAAATTTTAGCATTTTCACACACAGTACAAACATTACAAGGAAGAAGAGAGAGAGTAACCAGTCTGCTTGTTTGTTATTGCTCACTCTTTGATAACACTGAACACAAAGGGGCATGTTACAGAGGTAAATTTTAATGAGATTGTGTTTGTGTAGAAAAGCAAGATACAGGCAGGACCCATTTTACAGTACAGTGGACCCCCGCTTTACGATCAGCTCCCAATGCGACCAGTTATGTAAGTGTATTTATGTAAGTGCGTTTGTACGTGTATGTTTGGGGGTCTGAAATTGACTAATCTACTTCACAATATTCCTTATGGGAACAAATTCGTTCAGTACTGGCACCTGAACATACTTCTGGAATGAAATAATATCATAAACCGGGGGTCCACTTTACTTTGCTTTACAGCATATT